TGGGGTCTTAGCACATCCAAGATTAGATCAAGGTCGTCTTACCCAAGCTCTTAAGAATTTCTTTACCCCCATAGTTGTTTCCTTACATTCTTTGCAGCCAAAACAAGACAACCCTCCTATTTCCACATACCCTGCCCCTCCCACAGAGGCTGTTATTAACACATCCCTAGTAGCCCCAAAGAGAAGCATCTGCCACTGTGTTGGCATTGCTGGACACAAGTTCATGTTGGCCTTCTGGAATCCCACTGCCGCTTGGAGCCTGGTGTCAGACTGTTTCAGGACTCTGTAATCTCTCAGCAAAATGAAACACTGCCCCAAACTGGAAGTAGGCATGAGGAAGATGAGCTGCCACGCTTTTTCTTGCTGGATGCTGTTTACGTGGGTTATTCAGTCTGTGAAAACACATCAAGTTGAACACTTGTAATCTGTACAATTTTATGTAGGAATATTATATTTAAATATTCATAAATTTATAATTTATATAAGTTTACAGATTCATAAATTTAAATACTGAGACTTAAGATTTAAAAAAAAAAATTCCCAAACCCAGGGGCGTAATATATTTGAGGATTAGACAGAGAGAACCATTCTTTCTGTTCTTCAGATGCCATAGGGAAGTGAAGCCTCAGTGACACCACAGCATCTTCTGCAGTAAGGGGGCAATTGGTAAAGGGAAAATAATGGGGGTTCCCAAAGGTCAGGATAAAAATGTTCAGCCCTAAGTGCTTTCTTCTAGACAGACCGTGGGATTGGGGATGCAGGGAGAGACACTGGGGTCAAACCAGAACCATCAAGTAGAAGACCCAAAAAGGTACACGCTGCTTCTTTTCCTTGAGGATACTCCACTTTTAATCCTTATTCTCCATATCCCAACCTGGGATCCACCCTCCCAGGGACCAATTCACCATCCGTCTCTTGACTCTGGGAGCCAAAAGACCAGGTGGTGACAAAAAGAAGACCCAGGCCAAGGTCCTCTGGTGGGTCAGAATTTTCCAGTTTTCCCTTTCCTTTCCAAGCCAGGACAGGGGAAGTCCTGCCACTCTGAGTTCCACCCTCAACACCCATCCTTTTGATGTGGAAGAGACACTATGGGGAGGTGACTCTCAAGATGCCCGGCAGAATAGGCTGAACTAGTGCAGGGGTTTGCCTTAGTCGCCAGATAGATGGGAGTTCAAGCATGGGCACAACTAATGTCGCAACTCTGGGGTCCTTGTAGTGGCTTCCTTGGTATCTCTAAATGGATCTGTTCCCCAGGGTTACCAGCCACTGCAGCTAGCCAGGTGCTGCAGCCTGGCTGGAGACTGGAGCTGTCTCTCTTGCCAATTTGCCTGGGTACTGTTTTGAAGCCATCCTGGACTAGATTCCAGTTCCCAGCCCCTCCCTGAGCTCATTGTCTTCTAACCCATCAACGCCTGTGGTCAGGCTCAGACTTCCTAGATCCCCACTGATGCACTACCCCATCCTTGTCAGGGCACCTTCTGCCTCTGTGCCAGTCCCTGTGCTTCTATCCACTTTGAGGCCCCTTTCTGCAGCCCTTCCTTTGCACCAGCAGAGTCCTAAGAGTGCTTCCCAGTCCGTCCTGTGATCCTGGGCCCCACCTGAATCCCACAGCCCTGGGCTAGTTCCCTGGTTGCCCCATCAAAACTATTCATGACTGGCCAGCCCCGATGGCTCATGCCTATAATCCTAGCACTTTGGGAGGCCAAGGCAGGTCTTTTGCCTGAGCTCAGGAGTTTGAGACTAGCCTGGCCAAAATGGCAAAACCCCATCTCTACTAAAAATACAAAAAATTAGGCTGGGTGCGGTATCTCACACCTGTAACCCCAGCACTTTGGGAGGCCGAGGCAGGCAGATCACAAGTCAGGAGTTTGAGGCCAGCCTGACCAACATGGTGAAACCCCGACTCTACTAAAAATACAAAAATTAGCTGGACATGGTGGCACACACCTGTAATCCCAGCCACTCAGGAGGCTGAGGCAGGAGAATCGCTTGAACCTGAGAGGCGGAGGGTACAGTAAGCCGAGATCACGCCACTGCACTCCAGCCTAGGCAACAGAACGAGACTCCATCTCAAAAAAAAAAAAAAATTAGCTGGTCGTGGTGGCGCATGCCTGTAATCCCAGCTACTCAGGAGGCTGAGGCACAAGAATTGCTTGAACTCAAGAGGCGGAGGTTGCAGTGAGCAGAGATTGTGCCACTGCACTCCAACCTGGGCAACAGAGCAAGATTCTGTCTCCCAAAAAAAAAAGCTGTTCGTGGGAAGTATTTTCCCTGCCAACTGAGATCCAGACACTCTGTGACCAGGCCCCTAATAACCTGGGGACAAAGTGTCACCACAGTGGCAAAGACTTGGGCCAGTGATAAAATACAGAATATGATATGGGTTGGGGAAAATGCCCTGGGGGATGTGGGGGCCCCCAGCCCCTGCAGGTCTGATCTGCTTCCTCCTGTATATGCTGGGCAGCCCCCATCTCATCCCTGCACACCCGCTCAGGGATGCTCATGTGGTAGGGTTGTGGGAGGTATGGCCTTGGAAGAGATGGGCTGGGCTGGGATGAGAGCTGGGGCAGCCACTCCCCCTTCCTCTGTGATTAAGATTCTCTCACTCCAGACCATTCTCTCAGCACAGAACAGGCCCTGTGGCCCTCCTGGATGGGAAATTGCTGCCCCACCAATCTCCCAGCCCAGCCTCAACCAGCAGGACAGCGCTCCCCGCTGGGCTCCTTCTGCAGTCATACTCTCCCCTGCCCACACCTTGCTCTCCTGCTTCCTGCCTCTCTCTTCCATCAAGCACCAGAACCATTTCCTTATGAAGAGTTGCTACTGCTAACGCCAAAGCCTGGGACACGTTCCAGAGACACCAACACAGAGCCGTGAAGGTTCCAACTATCTGGACTCTCAGGGTTGGAAATCCCAGTGCCCTTTACAAGAGGTTCTGGGAACCTGGGCTGTACTTGAGGAATGTTAAAGGACTTGCCTTTTGTACTTCTGGTTCCTACAGAATCCCATTTTTTTAAAAAGGGGACTTTTTTTTTTTTTAAGGGATGGGGTCTTGCTAGGTTGTCCAGGATGGAGTGCTAGTCACAGGTGTAATAATAGTGCAATACAACCCTGAACTCCTGGCCTCAAGCAGTTCTCCAGTCTCAGCCTTCTGAGTAGCTGGGACTACAGACACATGCCCAGCTCTACTCTGGGGCTTTTGATATAGAATAAAGGTGGGTAAGGGATTCTCTGATGGTTCTTGTTCAAATTTCTTAGAAAATCACCCTCACCCTCTCTCAGTGCTCTGCATAATGCTGATTCAGAGGCAAAAGTAAGACTGAATCTTACTTTTGACTGGAGGATCATCTCAGAATCTGCAGTGACAAAAACAGTGATCCCAGGGAGACTTTGGGGCCCCAGGCTCTCAGGGGAGCAGCAGTTCCAGCAGCTCTCTGGTGTCACAGTGCCCAGCAAGTCCCTGGAGCCAGAGGCAGGGCTGTCCCCTGGCACTGCCTTTGTTCTCCTTCCGTGAGAGGACAGCCACACCTGCTTCACCCCATCTTACCCATGAAGAAATGTGCTCAGGGATGTCTAAGTGGCAGGGCTGTGGGACAGTATGGCCAAGGGCCTGAAGTCTTGGTCACAGGATCAGAGGCTGAGGTACAACATCTCAAACTATCACTGGAGTGTGTTCCTTGTAACCCAGTCAATCAAGATGATGTGAGCAAAGTGTTCCAAGATCAAAACCAAGTTTGAGTAACACTGCAGGCTGAGAGGTGGTCACAGTGTACATTAGCATAGTAAAGGTTCTGAGAAGACCTATGAGAAATGAACTTACTTCACTTAAATCTAAGATTCCTAAACTTATTTGATCATAGACTTTGCAGGGGAAGGGAAGGTACCGAACACATCCTAATAGAACACTTTTTATACCTTTTAGAACCACTGCTCACTCAGCCTCTTTCTTCACCAGAAAAGGTGTCAGGGAGAGCCCTGACCCCCACTGCACCCACCAGGTTTGTTCCAGGTGTGACCAGATGCTGGTGTCTTGTCACAGGTACAGAATCTGCTGCTCTGCCTATGGAGTCGCCATTCTTCTGTTTCTTTACTTGCTTAATAAACTTGCTTTCACATTATTATTATTATTATTATTATTATTATTATTATTATTATTTGAGACGGAGTTTCACCCTATTGCCCAGGCTGGAGTGCAATGGCACGATCTCAGCTCACTGCAGCCTCTGCCTCCTGGATTCAAGCGATTCTCCTGCCTCAGTCTCCCAGGTAGCTGGAATTACAGGCACATGCCACCATGCCCAGCTAATTTTTTGTATCTTTAGTAGAGATGGGATTTCACCATGTTGGCCAGGCTGGTCTTGACCTCGTGATTCGCCCACCTCAGCCTCCCAAAGTGCTGGCATTACAGGCGTGAACCACCATGCCCGGCTGCTTTCACTTAAAAAAAAAAAGCAATTTCAGGCCTCATCCTAGACCTACTAATAGAATCTGCGTGTGATAGGATCACCAGGTGACTTGCCACAAACTGACTTGAGAAGTACAGTTATACATCTTCTATTATTCCACTAAGATGACTAGTGGGTCAGTACCCCATTCAGGTGGGGCCTCCAGGCCGCCTAACTGGAGGTAGTTGACATATGTTGAACTGAGCACCTGTGTTTGGGGAAATCCCCATGTTATGAGTCCTTTCTTCCCAAGGGACCATAAGAAGAACTAAGGGGCTCTGCCAGCCATTGAAGAGGACTTGTTTTTGCAGAGGCTATAAAAAAGAACCAAGGTGCTCTTCCAGCTTTGCTTTCCCATCCCAGTCCAGATGTCTCTTCCACAGAGATGCCTGTAGACTCCTAGGCATCCTGACCCAGAGATGGTCACCTTGGGGATTCAACCAGAGTTGTTCCTGAGAAGCAGTCATAGCCTCCCCTACAAGGTCACAAGGGCGAAACACAGTCACCCTTAGCAGCTCTCCTCCAAACCCCCAAAAGGAAAAGCAAGCCAGCAGCTAGAGAGAAGACATTTTATTGAGAGTGTTACATAAATAGCTACAGAGAGCTGGGAGGACTGAAGGGAGTGACTGCCATCTCCCTCTGCACAGATCACTAAGGAACACATGGGGAGGGGATTAGGGGAAGGCGTGGTCCTCCCGAGGGAGAGAGGACACCCTGAATGCTATCTGGCATGAGGATGATGATGAGACAGAGAGAAAGGTGAGAGGGACCGACAGCCCAGATGTCATGGGGAGGTACAGATAGGAGCCAAAGAGGTCACAGCACTTGGAAGTCACTGGGTCAGAGCCTGTATCACATCCTTTACCAGCATGGTGCCAATCACCATTTTCTCACTGTTGACAGTCAGCTGGGCAGCTCCAGCTGGCCGGGCATCCAGGGTCAGCAGAACGAGGCTTCCACTGGTTAGTGTCCTCCCTGCAAACCTGAAGTGGGAGTAGAAGGGGTGGGGAAGAGCTGCTAAGGGTGACTGTTTGGAAGGGGATCAGCGCTTGGGGCTCCTCTTTCAAACCAGGGCCCCCATGCTCATCATTTCCCCTCTACTGGTGGCCTAGTACCTGTACTCATCAGATGTCCCACAAGGAACACGACCCAGGTTGGCAGTGGCAGTCACTTTCTGCACCACAATGTGGTCACTCCGACAGGTGTCTGGCAGCATGAGCTTCTCTGTGATCTCATTCATGCCCATCAGCTTTCCTGGGGGCAGAGGTCGTGATGAGGGCAGAGGCTGTGGTGGATAAAGAGGCCAGCACCTGGGTCTGCTTACTAAGCATCAAGTTCTCCCAGGCTGGGAAGGTATCATGCAAAGGGCAGGTCAGAATCTAAATCATCAGTCTTGGGGAGACGGTACTTCGCTCTCAGACTGGGCCCTCCATCAGGAAGCCTTCGTTAGCCTCTGTACCCCTCCCACCCAGGCCTTTATTCATGTTGTTACCAAAGACTGATTTGGCGCTTCCTCCATCAGACATCTGGGCTACCAGCCCCTTGAGAGTGGCCAGTCAGTTCTTAAAAGGTTCCCCAATCCTGAACCTCATACCCTTTGATCTTTCCTGGGTGGCCCTCCAACCCACATTCAACTCCCACTCAGCTCCTGGAGGCTAAGTCCTCACAAAAAGATGACAGGTGGCTGCTGTGATCTCTCAGCCAGAATCCAGTAGTCACATGCAGCATTCACAGGTACATTTTTAATTGTACCTCTGCAGCAGCAGCTCCAGACCTAGCCAGGGCTCCTGAAGCCCCCAAACCTTCCCAGCATCCCCAGAACTCCTCATTCTGCAGGGCTGACTTCTCTCCACTCACATGCTCTAGGCCCCCAGTGGGAGCCCCTCCATCTGCCCTCCTGCACACCAACAGTCTTCTCTTGAGCCTCTTTCCTCCTTCCGCTGCTTCCCCCATTCTTCACCTCCTTTTAGAAACTGACATCCCTCTCCTGTTTCTTCCATCCCCTTCATTCCTGACTAATAACATTTTCTTGTATTTGTTCCTTCAATCTGTTCAAGTGTTCCCGTCTCCAAAAAATCCTTTCCAGAAGCGAGATCCTTCATCGTGCCAATGCCCTGTCTCCCTCCTCATTCATGGCTAAAGTCCTCCAAAGAGGACTCCATTTACTTGAGCCCTGGTCTCCCTCAACCCACTGCAATTGGCCTCTGTCCCTCTTTTAGCAATGACCCTCTCTCCCTCAGGTTGGCAGTAGCCTTTTATACGCTGACTCTGAAGGTGTTCGGTAACTGTGGTTTGCAGACACCTTCTGCCTTGTTGTCTCTCCTGGTTCTCCTCCCACCTCTCCCTGTGCTCCTTCTCTTATCCCTCTCCTCCTCTTTCTTCTGCAGAATTCAGGTTTTCCCCCAAGGTTCTGTCCTTGGCATTCCTATTTTCTCCCACCTCCCAGAGTGATCTCATTCATATTCACAGCTTCCATTACAACCTCTATGCTCATGACTCCACCTTCAAAGTGTTTCCTGGGCATAGACCCATATTTTCAGTTGCATACTAAATAGCTCCTGCTGAATTTTCCAAATGCATTTCAAAATCAGTTTATCCAAAACTAACCACGATCTTCCCTCCTCCCTTGCCCAAGCCACTCTTCTTTCTTGTAGGCCAGAGGTTTTACAAATTACAGCCTCCAGGCCAAATCCAGCCCACCACCTGTATGGCCCACAATGTTTTAAATTATTTTTAAGTGTTGGGGGAGCAATCAAAAGAAGATTAATATTTCATGACACATGAAAATTATATGAAATTTAAACTTCAGTATCTATAAATATAAATGGAAATTTCTTGGAACACAGCCATACTCATTCATTTACATACTGTCTGTGGATGTTTATATGTTTCAACAGCCACAGTCGTGTTGTAACTGCAACAGATATCACATGATTCTCAAAGCCTAAAACATTTATCTTTGGCCCGTTACAGAAAAAGTTTGCTGACCCCTGGTCTAGATGAAGGACACCACCATTCTCCCTACCATTCAAGCTGGATGTTCTGGAGTCAGCTTCTATACTTCCCTCTCTGCCCATTCCCAGGGAGCACTCACCCTGTTCCTTCTTAAACTCATTTTCACTCATGAACACAGGGGCCATCAGCTCCCCAACAGGTGGCTGAATGGAGACATAGAACTGTCGGGTCTGGGTGCTGGAAGGGTGGGAGGAAACAGAGGGAGAAGAATTAAGGCCGTCATCTCTCCCCTCACCTCCCACCCTGTGTAGAGGCACAGCTTGGAGGCAGTGAGAGAGTGAAGTGAGGAATGAGGGCCTGAGATGGCTTCCAGACCCACCCAATCATGATGTATCCCCACTAAGCACCACCTCCATTTCTGGTTCATTGCTACCCTGACCCTTTCCAGCCCATCCTCTCACCCCCACCTTGAGTTGGGCACATACCACAGCTGGAAGTTGGCTGCCTGGGTTGAGTCACAGAAATTAATGCCCATTACAGCAGTGGCAGATTCTCCAGGGGCCAGGGACTCTGAAGTGGTATAAGGCAGTGAAGGGGAGAGGGAGGACCACCATCACCTGATAGGTCTAGAACCCAGCCTAGCCCTACTCTCCCCTCCACTGTTACAGCTGACCAACCCTCTACAGAATCTTGGCTTTCTTGGCCCCTGGAGACTGTTCCTGGTTTCCTTCTGAACTCTTAAGGTTGCTTTCCCCCACTCACCCTCACCACATTTAAGTTAGTCCTGAAACAACCAAGGCTCAAATCTGCTGCTGCAAGCACCTCCCCCCCGATGTGATCTTGCTTATTTCATAATCTGTCTTGTTCACCAGAGTGTTGATCACATTAGATGCTATCTCTGTGTCCCTATAGCTTGGCCCCTGGCCTGGCACAAGAAGGGTATCAACAACCACAGAAAGATTGACTCTGCCCAGGAGCCTCCTCCTCCACCCCATCCAAAGCCCTTCGCACCAATTTCAGGAAATTCTTGGATGCTGATGCCAGCAGGCAGTTTGGGAGTGCCCACATGCAGGCCCTTGATGGGGGTATCAGAGCTGTTGGAGAAGTGGATGTGCACAGACACCATGTGGGGGTCCCCGGAGAAAGGTTGGCGGCTGAAGGTGTAGTCCACAACCAGCCCCTCGCCAGCTACCCGGTGCAGCAGCTCCTGCCGCCCAACACGCGACACTGGACTCAGAAGCTAGAGTGGAGGGGTAAGGAAGGACAGAACTGAGCAAGACAGAGAGAGCCTGTCCCAGCATTGTCCCCTAGGGCCATCCAGCAACTGGGACTCAAAGCTATCACATCCTCCATCACACCCACCCCCCACACACATCCATACCATAGGATGCAGCACAGAGATGTGTCCCTGCCCCAGCCCAGTCACCTCCTCCATCCCACTCACCGACGGTACCAGGGTGGAATCTGTCAGTGTCAGGCCCTCCAGGTCAGCAGCCAGACTGGTAGACACAATTGCTGGGGGAGACACAGGCTGGACACTGGGAGGGGTGACTGTGGGAGTAGATAAGACTATGATGAGGCAAAGTGAAGGTGACTTGGGTTGAGCAGGGAGCCTAGGGATCAAGGAGTACGCGTTTCAGCACCATGGACAGTGGGGGGGGGGGGGGCACGGGGGGGCGCGCACATGCCTGCCTGGAGGCTCTGGCAAAATACCTATCCCTAGACCTCAACCCCAGACCTGGGGAGGTCAGCCCTGCTGCCGCCCTCTCAGGCCTGAAGATATGTTCTGTCTGCTCCCCTGCTCCCACAAGACCTGAGGAACCTGATCCAGAATCCCTGTGGGCCGTTCTAATTCATGCTCCCCAGGCCTCCTTTCCCCTGTGACTTTTACCACCCAAACTCACAGTCCTCTAGGTCAAGCAGGGAGATCTCCTTGGTTGCAGGGGCCCTTTTGCTGCTGGGAGGCTGAAAGAGAAAAATGGGATATGGGTGTGGGTAAGGGGAGCACCTTGGCATGTTCTGGGTTGGGAAAAAGATGTCATGGTCTGTTCTGGATGGTAGAGAGATAGATGTCTGAGTCTGGCCCATGGGCACACCCTGACTGTCCCAAGGCTCTCACTGTTTTCCTCCTCCAGGAGGCAGGTTCCAACTGCTCCTCCTCGGACTCTGATGTCATCTCGGACTCTGATGTGCTACTGCTGGAATCGCTGTCCTCATCAGAGGATGACGCTTCTCCTTTTCCCTCTGGCACCTTCTTCTTCTTCGTCTTCCTCTTACCATCCTCCTCACTCTGTTCACTGAAGGAGAGTGGGAAAGGTGGGCTCAGGCCTGGCCTGGACACCCCCTCCTTGCTTCACAGAAGCAGGAGAAATGCTGAAAAGCTGGAGTGGAGTGGGGAGCCTGGGCCAGGAGGGTTCACACCTGAAGTCCTATAGCAGGGACCTCATGAGAGCTTGAAGCCAGCTTGTGCCAGCTCAGGCTCCAGGCCCCTGGTTGCTTCTCCACACCTCCCCACGAGGCCTCAGAGATCTCCTGCAGCCAGCGAAAGCAGTTGTCATGTGAGCTGACAACCCCAGCCAGCTCATAAGGGACTCAGGGGCTCTTAGGAGACTGGCTAAAGCTCAGTGCTAGCCCTTCTTTTCAGGAAAGCCCCCGGAACCCCACCCGCCATCTGGCTGGCTCCCTTCTCACCTCTCACTGCCTCTGCCTTTCTCCTCATCCTCATCCTGGTCTTCATTGTCAGACTCACTGCTGGACTCCCCAGAGCCGCTCTCGCTGCTGCTCTTACTGTCTGATTCACTCTCAGACTCAGGGTCTGTGGAGGAATAATATGAGGCCTCCTCCCTCATATGCAGGCCTCCTTGGGTCTAGAGCAGGCACCTGGGTTCCACCTTCAGATTCAGTACTGAACCCTCTCTGACCTGCCCCCAGCCCTACATGCCAGCTGAAACTGACAGAAACACAGATGGACTCCATGGATAGAAACCTGCACAAGCACACATACCTGGAACATGAATCCGTCAGGTGCACAAACAACTCACAAGCAGATGCACACCCCTAGACACACGACCATATACATACACCCCTCATATAGCCAGTCATGCAGACACATGGGCGGGAGCACAGAGGACCCCAGCTCTGCCATCTGCTTACCACTGTCTGCGGACTCTGTGGGGCCTGACTCCCCCTCAGAGTCCGAGTAGAAGGGTTTTTCCTTCTCCTTTCTCTTCTCCCGATTTGAGCACTTGGTCCATTCAGGTACCTGGAGATGGAAGTAGGGTGCAGGGTCATTTCATAATGGTTGGGGAGAAGGAAGGCAGGCACAAGCCCTTACCCTTTATTCCACCTCTTCATGAGGCCCTACCTGGTCTGTCTCACAAAGGGAAGAACAGAGGAGGAAGAAAGGGGCACTGTCCATGGAGGGGAGGGGATGCTGCTCACAGAGGGGCACTGCCAAACCAAGGTGGAAACAGAACATGGGAAGGCCCAGGAGCACAGCACACAGGGGAAGCAGAGGGACACAGACAGGGCATGGGAGAGAGCACACGGCACACGGAGGTGGGACCTCAGTGTATTCGCCCAACAGGCCCACGTGAGTCTCAATAAGGGAAAGATCTTCTTCCTGTGTGTGTGGGGAAGGTGTTAGGAGGGCTGGGCCGGCACTGCCAGAGCTCCTTACTGTCTGCCCCCACCAACACACACTCACACACTTCAACCCTCCACCCCGCTGACCTCCACGTTGCGCACAGATGGGTCTGGGGCTTCCTCCGGCCAATCTGGGAGCTCCTGGTAGCCTGTGGCCTTGGCATTGAGCAGGTGGGACAGTGAGCCCAGCTGGAAGTGGTCCCGGTCTAGGGATAGGTTTAGAGGTCAGGCAGGTAGCAGCAGTGAGGGACAGCTCTGGGAGCTATTTCCCAGGTGGGGCTGGGTCATGATTCTGGTCGGGGCTTCCCAGGTGGGTAGGAGAAGGAGATGGATGTGTGCCCTAATGGCTCTTTCACCCTGACTGCACCTTTAGGCCCACATGCTGGAAGAAAAGGCTGTCTGGCCAGGCCAGAGCAGGGACTGAGGGCCAGGGAGAGGCGGCCTACAGAGGTGAGCAGGAGGAGACTCTGGGCCCACAGATGCTGCCAGCCCATCTGCTTGGGAAGCATGTCTAGTCAGGCTCTGGACTCAGCCAGGAGAGATGAGCATCAGAGCATGAGTGTGCAGGAGTCCAGGTCAGAGGTGAGGCACCGCTGGAGGAGGGCAGCACAGGCCTGTGAGTAGGGATGGTGCCAGGGAGAAAGGGACTGTTGCCTTCTTCCTGGGAGAATTTCAAAGCTACACCCACCCTCAGAATCTCCCCATTCCTGAGGTCCAGGGAAGAGAAACAGAACAAAAAGATACGCAGAAGAACTGAGCTTTGTGAAGGAGGATCTCTTCTGTGTAGGTTCCTGGCTTCTGCTCCTGGGGTCCAGAGAGCCAGCAGGAGAACCCTTCCCCCCCGGCCCCCTCTCAGGGCCCTTGTCTTGGGAAAAGAGGCCTTAAGGGCCAAGCCCAAGAACAGAGCAAGGCTGAAGCCCTGGGGCCTGGGATCTGAACTGACTGTAGTGACTAAGCTTACAGAGTACAGGCAACTGCTTTCTCAGGACCTTTATAAAAATATACACCTCTCAGGCCGGGCGCGGTGGCTCAAGCCTGTAATCCCAGCACTTTGGGAGGCCGAGGCGGGTGGATCACGAGATCAGGAGATTGAGACCATCCTGGCTAACATGGTGAAACCCCGTCTCTACTAAAAATACAAAAAACTAGCCGGGCGTGGTGGCGGGCGCCTGTAGTCCCAGCTACTCGGAGGCTGAGGCGGGAGAATGGCGTAAACCCGGGAGCCGGAGCTTGCAGTGAGCCAAGATCGTGCCACTGCACTCCAGCCTGGGCGACACAGCGAGACTCCGTCTTAAAAAAAAAAAAATATATATATATATATACACACACACACACACACACACACACCCTCCTCTGTGTGTTGTTTTGCTTTCTGCCTTCCTGGATCCTTGGTATTTAAGATCTTGGTATGTATTCCAAAGCCTACTGTCTGCTCAGGGAGGGACATTAAAAAGGGAGCCTGAGAGGAGAAGAGGCAGGAGCCCATCCTGGCCGGTAAGGCAGACCCTCTAGTGAGATGATGCTGGCAGTGGTTGTGGGCAGGTGAAAGAGTAATTCTTGGTGCCACAGCAGGGGCAAAAGGAGTGAGCCAGGGAGTAGGACTGCCCACAGAAGCATGGTGCCTGGCTAGGGGCTTCAGGAAGGTCTGGGGCAGAGACTCTGGCCAGTTCCTTCCCATTCCCCTAGGAATGTTACCCTTGATTTCATCTCCCACCTTTGAAGGATGACTCCAAGACTGGAGCTGGTTTGGGTGCCAGGAAGAGCTTCTTGGCATGGCGGCTAAGGGCCCCACCCTGCTCGGAAGGGACGATGAGCTGCCGGGTGAAGCGTGCCCGGTCGCGAATATCATAGTTCTGGTCATATTTGGCCAGACTCAGCACATACTGGGTCAGCAGCTTGGTCTGGAGGAACAGGAAGAGGTGGGTCAGCTGACAGAGGGGGTGGGGACACAGGAGGCTCAGAACCAGATTCTTTAAGCCGACACTTGCAGGCAGAATGTCTCCTCTCCCTGCTTAGGACCAGCTGCTTCCACCCAGCTCTCCCTCCCCACCTGCCCTTGTTCTGGGCTCAGAATTTTCTCTCATCTCTCTGACCATGCCTCCTGATGACCCCAACTTTGACAACTGCCTTGGGCCAGCAAAAGAGGTTTTCCTTTTGGACTTTCCCCACTCCTGGCTCTGGACTCCATTCTTCCCCAGGTTGGTGGTTCCTACCTCTCCAGGCCTTTCCACCCTCTTTACTCCAGGGCGGCAGGGTATGTGGAAGTCTGGAATGCTCTACTGGACCTCACAGTTTCCAGGCTTCACCACCCAGGGAGGAATCAGACAACAAAAAGACAGGGCAGATAAACAGGGGTCCCTTTGGCAGGGGCCACCCTCATGTCCTATCCACCCACTTAGTAGATTCTGAGCAGCCCAGGGGTCTCAGAGGTCTTGATCCTTCCCTGGAAGGTTCTAATGAGACATTAAGGCAAACTGCAGCTGCTGATGCATTTGCCAAGGTCATGTAGGGTTCACAGTCTGCAGTCAGGGAAGCTACAACTGCAGACCTGAAATCTCTCCATTTCTGCCATGATCTTGGCCTAATCTAACCTGCCTTAACATGGCAACAGTGTGGCCGGGCGCAGTGGCTCACGCCTGTAATCCCAGCACTTTGGGAGGCCGAGGCGGGCGGATCACAAGGTCAGGAGATCGAGACCACGGTGAAACCCCGTCTCTACTAAAAATACAAAAAATTAGCAGGGCGCGGTTGTGGGCGCCTGTAGTCCCAGCTACTCGGGAGGCTGAGGCAGGAGAATGGCATGAACCCAGGAGGCGGAGCTTGCAGTGAGCCGAGATCGCGCCACTGCACTCCAGCCTGGGCGACAGAGCGAGACTCCGTCTCAAAAAAAAACAAAAAAACAAAAAAACAAAAAAAAAAACATGGCAACAGTGGTAGCAGCCATCACTTATCAAGTGCCTTCTGGCACCAAGCACTGCTAGGTGCTCCATACTAGCTCATCTAATCTCCCCAAGCCTTCTGAGAGGTAGGCATTATTGCCCCCATTTTACAGAAAAGAAGCAGAATCATTAAGGAGCTTTTCCCAGGCCAAGGAGCCCATCAGTACTGCACCTAGGCCTGCATCTGCTGGAGCTGCACCCCATCTGCTTCCCTTCACTGCCTACCTGCTGACATAAGGAGCCTGCCCTGGTCCAGGTCTCCATGTTTCCATCACTTGTGACCAAGATCAAAACCACCAAGTAGTCAACAACCAGAATGCCCAGGGGCATCAGAGGCCAGCAGGAGGGAGCCTGGAACTGACTCTGTTCTTCCTGAGGTTTATGGTGACATACTGTTACATGCAGCCTTGGACGTGGTTAACCCAGCTAATCTGGCAGGGACATCAAGCAGATGTCCATGAGGGGCAAAGCCCCTCAGATGCTGACCCAGAGTCAGAGCAGCTGCTGTGGCAGAATTGCCCCACACCACTCTAGAGAGCCACTATGATTCCACATTCATACCTCCAATCTGGCCCACAGGACCTCTTCAGCTCAGTCCCTTCCAGCAAAGCAGCACCTCCCATACTGTTCTAGTCACAGATAAGCAATCCCAACCCCATGCACCCCTAATAGAATAGACTTTAAAATATGAAAATAAGATGCCATCACAACAGATTTCATCACCAACCTGCCCCTCTCTTGGTCAGACACCATCTAAATGGCCAGCGCTAGTGGATGCCCTATACCAACATGGTCCATTATCAAGAGGCTGCTGATCCCTCTTTTGGTTTGAACAATGTCTTCCTCCACAGATTTCCCAGCTGGCTGATCACAGACTCCCTCCTTTAAGACCCTGCCTAGTTCTAGACAGAACTGTTTGGTATTTGGATCCATCTGTCCACAGCCTTAACTGCATGTTAACAACCAACACAAGAAGGGCTGGCCCACCACCTCGACACTGCAGGATTTGCCTATAATAATTCATTACCCTTCTCCACCCCAAGGAGCCACTCCCTGTGGATTGTGGCATCCTGTGTGCACCACCAAGACCCCCACCTCATCTAGCCAGGATATGCAGGAATTACAGGCTACTCAAGAAGGCCTATGAGATACACTCCAGTATGCCAAGAACAGAACAAGGCTCCCCCTCACCAACAGGCTCCAGTTGTCAGGGAGGAATTTTAAGTGGGAAACACTATCTTTCCATAACCTATGCCAATGTACATGCTACCTTGCAGCTGCCTGCTAATCATGCTTAGAAAACTGGCTATTAAAAAAAAATTGAAATACATCCTCAATTCACACATTACACATGAGTAAGTTTAAGCTCTCGATGGATGTGGCAGACAGATTTTAAGGTCTTCCCCACCAGTAGCTGCCTCCTGGTGTTCATGCCTTTGTGCAATCCCTCACCTTGGGTATGGGCAAAACCTGAGACTTGCTTTTAACCAACAGGATATGGCAAAGATGGTATATGATTATATATGATCCTATGATTATGTTTGATTAAGAAGACTCTGTATTGGAAGTCCTAGCTAGAGCAATCAGACAGGAGAAAGAAATAAGGGTATCCAAATTGGAAAAGAATTCAAATTATCCTTGTTTGCAGATGATATGATCTTATAGTTAAAAAAATCTAAGAACTCCACCAAAAAACTATTAGAACTGATAAACAAATTCAGTAAAGTTGCAGGATACAAAATCCACATAAATATCAGTAGCATTGGCCAGGTGCAGTGGCTGACGCCTGTAATCCCAGCACTTTGGGAGGCCGAGGCAGGCGGATCACAAAATCAAGAGATTGAGACCATCCTGGCCAACATGGTGAAATCCTGTCTCTACTAAAAATACAAAAATTAGCTGGATGTGGTGGTGCACACCTGTAGTCCCAGCTACTCAGGAGGCTGAGGCAGGAGAATCACTTGAACCCGGGAGGTGAAGGTTGCAGTGAGCCAAGATGGTGCCACTGCACTCCAGTGTGGCGACAGAGTGAGAGTCTGTCTCAAAAAAAAAAAAAAAAAATCAGTAGCATTGGCCAGGCACGGTGGCTCACACCTGTAATCACTTTGGGAGGCTGAGGCAGGCAGAATACCTGAGGTCAGGAGTTCGAGACCAGTCTGACCAACATAGAGAAACCCTTCTCTACTAAAAATACAAAATTAGCTGGGCATGGTGGCACATACCTGTAATCCCAGCTACTTGGGAGTCTGAGGCAGGAGAATTGCTTGAACCCAGGAGACGGAGGTTGCAGTGAGCTGAGATTGCACAACTACACTCCAGAGCCTGGGCAACGGAGCGAGAACTCCATCTCAAAGGAAAAAAAAAATTAGCCGTTGCCCTCCAGCCTGGGCAACAAGAGCAAAACTCTGTCTCCAAAAAAAAAAAAAAAATCAGTAGCATTTACTTTTTTTTTTGCGATGAAGACAAAGTCTCGCTCTTGTACCCCAGACTGGAGTGCAATGACGCGATCTTGGCTCACTGCAACCTCTGCCTCCTGGGTTCAAGCAATTCTCCTGCCTCAGCCTCCCGAGTAGCTGGGATTACAGGCACCCGCCACCACAACCAGCTAATTTTTGTGTTTTTAGTAGAGACGGGGTTTCGCCATGTTAGCCAGGCTGGTCTTGAACTCCTGACCTCAGGTGATCCACCAGCCTTGGCCTCCCAAAGTGCTGGGATTACAAGCGTGAGCCACCACGCCTGGCCGTGAATTCATTTTTGACAAAGGTATCAAGAACATACATTAGGGAAAGGAGAGTCTCTTCAATAAACGGTGCTGGGAAAACGGGATATCCATATGCACAAGAATAAAACCAGACTCCTATCTCTCACCATATGCAAAAATCAAATCATAATGTATTAAAAACTTAAATCTAACACTTCAAACTATGAAACTACTAAAATAAAACATTAGAGAAATTCTCCAGGACATTGTACTGGGCAAAGATTTCTTGTGTAATACCCCACATGCACAGGCAACCAAAGCAAAAGTAGAAAAATGGGATCACATCAAGTTACAAAGCTTCTGCACACTAAAGAAATCAACAAAGAGACAAGCCACAGAATAGGAGAAAAAAAATTGCAAACTAAAGGAATCAACAAACAAGCCACAGGAGAAAAAATATTGCAAACTACCCATCTGACAAGGGATTAATAACCAGAATATGTAAGGAGATCAAACAACTCAATAAGAAAAAAAAAATTCAATAATCCAATTTAAAAATGGGCAAAAGATCTGAATAGACATTTCTCAAAAGAAGACATACAGATAGCAAACAGGTATATGAAAAGGTGATCAACATCATTGAGCATCAGAGAAATGCAAATCAAAACTACAATGAAAGGCCAGGCATGGTGGCTCATGCCTGTAATCCCAGCACTTTGGGAGGCTGAGGCGGGCAGATCACAGGTCAGGAACACCTGAGGTCAGGAGTTGAGACCAGCCTGTCCAACATGGCGAAACCCCATCTATCCTAAAAGTACAGAAATTAACTGGGCATGGTGGCATACGCCTCTAGTCCCAGCTACTCATGAGGCTGAGGCAGGAGAATCACTTGAACGACAGAGGCAGAGGTTGTTGAGCAGTGAGCCGAGATCGCACCACTGCACACTCCAGCCTGGGTGACAGAGCAAGACTCCGTCTCAAAAAACAAAACAAAACAAACAAAAAAACAATGATATATCATCTCACCCCAAGTAGGCTTATATCCAAAAGATAGGCAATAACAAATGCTGACAAGAACATGGAGAAAAGGCAACCCTTGTACACTGTTAGTTGGAATGTCTATGAAGAACAGTTTGGAGGTTCCTTAAAACACTAAAAATAGGCTGGGCGTGGTGGCTCACACCTGTAATTCCAGCACTTTGGAGGCTGGCGGATCATGAGGTCAAGAGATGGAGACCATCCTGGCCAACATGGTGAAAACCCATCTCTACTAAAAATACAAAAAATTAGCCAGGATTGGTGGCAGGCACCTGTAATCCCAGTTACTTGGGAGGCTGAAGCAGGAGAATCACTTGAACCCGGGAGGTTGCAGTGAGCTGAGATCACGCCATTGCACTCCAGCCTGGGCAACAGGGCAAGACTCCATCTCAAAAAAAAAAAAAAAAAAAAACCTAAAAATATCACTACCGTATGATTCAGCAATCCCAACGCTATGTATATACCCAAAAGTAAGGAAATCAACATATTGAAGTGATATCTGCACTCCCACGTTTATTGCAGCACTGTTCACCATAGCCAAGATTTGAAAGCAACTTCAGTGTCCATCAACAGACAAACGGATAAAGAAAATATGGTACATATACACAATGCAGGACTATAAAAAAAGAATTAAAAAAAAAAAGAATGAGATTCTGTCATTTGCAACAACATGGATAGAACTAGAGGTCATTATTTTAAGTGAAATAAGCCAAGCACAGAAAAACAAACTTCACATATTCTCACTTATTTATGGGGGCTAAAAATGAAAAGAACTGAGCTCATGGAGTTGGAGAGTAGAATAATGGTTACCAGAGGCTGAGAAGGGTAGTGGGTGGGGGGAAGTAGGGATGGTTAATGGGTACAAAATTGTAGTTATATAGAATGCTAAGATCTAGTATTTGATAGCACAACAGGGTGACTACAGTCAACAATAATTCATTATACATTTAAAAATAACTAAAAGAGTGTAATTTGATTGTTTGTAACACAAAAGATAAATGCTTGAGAGGATGGATACCCCATTCCCTGATGTGATTGTTATGCATTGTATGCCTGTATCAAAATATATCACGTATACCATAAATGTATACACCTACTATGTACCCATAAAAATTAAAAAATAAAAAGAAGACTGTCTTGCTAGCAGACTGACTCTAGAGACTTTCTCCCTTGTGGCTTTGGAGAAATAAGCATCCGTGTTGGGAGGCCCATATGGCAATGAGCTAAGGACGGCCTCTAGAAGGCAAAGGCAGTCCCCAGCTGACAGCCAGCAAGATGCCAGGGCCACAATCCTACAACTGCAAGGAAGTGGATCCTGGCACCATGTGACTTGGAAGAGGACCTTTCCCCAGTACAGCCTCCAGATAAAAACTCAGCCTTGGCTGACACCTCAATTGTAGCCTTGCATAAGATCCAACTAAGCCATACCTGAATTCTCGACCCATAGACATTGAAAAAATAAACGTGTGTTGTTTGAAGCCCCTAAATTTACAGTAATTTATTATGTAGCAGAAAACTAATACAATTGATTTAAAAATGTGAACGTAGAAAAAATTCTGGAGAAAATTCTTTTTTATTTTTGTTTATTTTTGAGATGGATCTTGCTCTGTGGCCCAGGCTGAAGTGCAGTGGTGCCATCTCAGCTCACTGCAACCTCCAGCTCCCAGGTTCAAGCAATTCTCCTGCCTTAGCCTCCCAAGTAGCTGAGATTTCAGTGCACCACCACACCCAGCTAATTTTTTTGTACTTTTAGTAGGGACAGGGTTTCACCATGTTGGTCAGGCTGGTCTTGAATTCATGACCTCAAATGGTCCACCCACCTTGGGCTCCCAAAGTGGGATTGCAGGTGTGAGCCATTGAACCCAGTCTGACGAAAATTCAAAGTGAAAATTTTAATTGAAATGTGACTGGGAAAAAAAGTATTAAATATGAAAGCATTGAAAAGAAGCAGAAAAGTTTAAAATATTGGACAATAGACAAATGTACAACTTCTGAATGACTATATATAGGAATAAAAAATAAGGAAATATAAAATTAATGGTGGTCTTCTAAGTGGTGGACTTATTAATAAACTATTAACTTTTTGAGTTTTCCAGATGTTCTACGACGAGCATGTATTACCTTTAGAATATTTAAAAAGTTTAAGTTTTTAACAGCAATTCTGAAAATTTGTCACAATTTTCCATTCACTGTAAAGACGGTCACATGGGAGGGTTGCAGATCCCACTGTGCCCCTGGCAGACCCTCCTGCCACACATCTTACCTGACATATAAAAGCAAACTCACCTGCTAGGCAGTTTCCCCAGGTTCTATATCCATGTGGATGTAATAACCACTTTCACTACCAACCTCCCCTCCCCCGCTGCCTGCTTAAGCCTGCATATTATGCCTTTGTGGTCTCCGGTCTAGAATCTGATTATCTGATGATCAATAGCAGGGCAGAGGCCTCATCTTGGTCATTTCCTTGGCCTCAGCCTGCACCAGGATCTGGCATGCAGTGGGGCCATGTCCAAATTGAAGAGAGTGACTGAGATTACTGTGACCTTTTAGCTGGGCAGATTGCCACCCATGGTCCCAGGATGGGAAGCATCACTACGTTTTGCAATCATGGCCATGTGCGCATCCAAACCACCTCCCTCCTAGTACACCAAGGACTCCCCCTTCTTTACCACTCCCAGAAGAGGCTGGGAAGAAAGGAGAAAGAAAGGACAAAAATCTTTATTGAATCAAATAACCATTCTAAGGGGTTTGCAAAAACTCACTTTCAGGTGAAGGGCACCCTGGAGGTGAGTGTCCATTTGCCTGAACAGCCTACTCTGGGTGCCCTGACAGGGGTCCTTCCTGGGGGAGGGTTAAGCTGTATATACCCACAGCTCTCTGTGCCAACCCTGATTACAGCTCTTCCTACTGTGTTTAAAATGTTTATTTTTCTCCTGTTTCTCCTACTTGGCTGTGAGTATCTAGAGACCTGTAAATGTGTCTCACTCATTGTCATATCCCCAGGACGTAGCACATTACCAGGCAAATAGTAGGCCTACATGTTAAATAAATGAACAAATGCACATGTAGCTCACAGTGACAACTTGGAGAAATGCCACGTGGACAGGCCCAAGCTTATGAAAACATGCTGACCTCACCATCCTGGGGTTCAGGACCCTGGCTCAGTGCTGAGCATGTCAGACTCTGACCTACCTGGGTGGCTCCCCACCCAGGCTGCTTCATCTTTTCAAACATTCCTCCCACTTGTTCCTTCCTCCCGCCTGAACAAAGAAAGTACACAAATATTCATTCAATGATTGAATGCTTCTCCATGGTACTCCCTCTCCCTCTAACTTCTCTCTCTCCTATCTGCTGTGCCCACAACACTGATACCCACAGACTCAGTTGCCTCCACATGTAGCTGCTGTCCTTTCTGACTCCTGATTAGAGTCCCAGCACTTGGTGGCCCTACCTACCTCAGCATGAGCCTCTGGGGCTCACTCTGGCCACCATGGATCAAAGAAGCCACTGAAAAAGACAAGTGCCACCATCCAAAGACTCCCATGCAGAGTGGGCATGGCAGGGAGGCTACAGTCTCCAGGGGATATCCCTGCTATAAATCTGTAGACCCCAGCCACCTACCCAGATGTTTTGCTTCAAGGATTGGCAGAGTCTTTCTATAAAAGGGCCAGAGAATAACTATTCTAGGCTTTGTGGGCAATACAGTCTGTTGCAACTAGTCAACCCTGCGGTTGTAGCACAAAAGCAGCCACAGGTAATTCATAAATGAACGAGCAGGGCTGTGTTCCAACAAAACTTTATTTATAAAAACAGGCATAGGCCAGATTCAGCCTATGGGCAGTAGTTTGCCAATCCCTGTCCTGCTTAACTGAGTAGGAGCGTGTGGAAATTGTCATAGTGTTTGATGTCCCTGACACCTTGAAAAGCTCAGCACATTATGTTTTATTTTAGAAGAATCTCCTGGAACCATCTCAAGAGATGCCAGACAGCTAGAAGGCTCTGAATGCCCTGATACTACAACTTAGTTGAGCCTCATCCTTGGCTATGTATCTCTTATAACCTTTCACCTTGGGAATGACAGTGGCCACCAGTACCACCCAAGTCCAAGCAGAGACTCACTCCCTTATCTTTGGCACAGACTGGCCAAGCATTGTCAAGCTTTGGGAGGAAGCACAGACCACATCTGGGATGCATGTTCTCCCATCAGTACCTGCCACTGTTGGGCCCTTCCCTTATTTCAATCAACTGTGGTTCTTCGCAGCCCCAGAGTTCCAAGGTGGCAGACAGGACTCTTTTACTAGCCAACTGGAGGTCACAGCTTCATAGGAGAGTCTCTTCAACAGTGACTACCAGCACTACAAGGTCTTTGAGTCCCCAGAATAGCTGTGGGCACTGGGGTAGCATTGGTTACGTGGGCAGACCAGCCACCTTCCCAGATTCTTCTTTTCCAAAATAGGAGCTAGAGTTCAGCCCTGCCTAGGGAGGGCCAAAAGAATACTGTCTAGGGAGTTTCTGGGAACCAGAGTATTTGGGGGGTCATCTCTCAATCTTTACCTGTTTAGAGTTGGTCAGGTAGAGCTTGGCTGCTAAGTTGATGACCTGCAGCTTGACAATATCCTCCTCTGCTGTGAATGACTTGGCCATTTTTCTTAAGACATCAGGTGCAATCCTGGGGACGTGCTCACAGTACTCTCCGATGAGCCACAGGATGCTGGCTCTGGCCATGGGCACCTGTGGTTGTGGGAGAGGAGTGGGTAAATATGGGAAAGTGGGTGGGTAGGAATGTGGACTTCCAGGGAAACAGTACTCCTCATCTGTGCTGGCCTATTGTATTATGGGTTCTCTGGAAATGGGAGTTGGGGGTGGTGGGAGAGAGACAGAGACGTTAAAAGGTAGACGTTTCCTGGACAGCATTTCCTCTCTTCCCTAGGGCTTCATTAGCATAGAGCTTTCAAGACCCTAAGTCAATCATGATACAAAAGACTGACTTTCTGGATTCATTGTACCCTCAATGCTTTATTTCCATGTTACTCTTCTGAATCTTTGGGAATGCCTTGTTTAGATGTTTCAGCTTAGCAGTGCAACAGAAAAATACAAGATTTGTCACTTAACCATGGTTGGCTAGAGCTTTAGAGAGAAAGCAAGAGTAGCAGTAAAGTCCATGGCGCTCGGTGAGGGTCTCCAAAGGGAAGGCAAATCTTGGGTAACAAGGTCAGGGTCACATGGTCCAGTGTCTCTCCTCCTCCCACCTGAAGACCTAAGGTTTGGAAGTTACTTTTGATAAGGCTAGCATATTTAATTATACAGTCTTGAAATCACGGGGAAGACCTTGAAGTGGGGAGTGAAAATGTGGCTACTCCCTCACCTGGATGTTGTCTGTAAGCTTTGCCAAGTGTTTGATGATCTCTCCATGTTGTGCTGGCTGCATCTGTAGCAATTTCTTAATGACGACCACTGACTCTGCAACCACAAGCTCTACGGAAGAAAAATGAGTGTATGGACCCCAAGACAGTCAGATAGCCATGCTCAGGTGGACAGACACACCTGCAGTGCCCCAGGCCCTTGGTTCTTTCTTTCAACCCCTTCACTTCTCTAGCAGCCCTCAGAGGTGTAGGAACACTTGGGCCCTGATCAAGACAGACAGACCAATGGACACACATCATGTCTAGGCAGACTGGTGGATATCCACTGGCCAGCAGAGTCAGACCTGCAGGCAGGCATCTTCTGATCATCACGATTAGACATTCAGGCAAACACTGACCATCACGGTTGGACAGCAGCTGCACCAGGCCATTGAGGCAGGTGTCACGGACTCGGCCAATGTTAGTTGCACAGCGTCCAATGGCCTGGATTGTGGCTGCCACAAAGTCCTTGTCCATGCTGCGAATATAGGTCTGTGAGATATGACAAAGAAATCCCTCAGTGACTCTGCAGGCTGGAGGGTGACCTTCAAGAAGGCTGTGGCCCTTCATTTTATGGCTCATCATGCCAGTGACTAAGACTTGGGAAAGGGGCGACACCTCCACCCCCAATCCAGTGATTCCTTCGCCCAAAGCTAGCCAAACACATTGGAAGGGGAATGTAAGATAATAGCTTCTCCAGCTTTGGGCTCATAAGAGGTTTGACCCACCAGGGCACAAAGATCTGATGGGTACCTCTCCCGGGCCCTTCTGGCTGGGAGCTGGCCTGTACCTGGAATTCCCGTAGGACAGTAGGAATGTTGGTCTCATTGGCCAGGTTGGTCAGCACTTCCAGCTGCAGGGAGGGGTGAAGAGGCAGAGAGGGGTGGCCAGTGGGCTTTCTGTACTTTCCTTCCAAAAACATTTCACAGACCAGAAAACAATCCTCATGACAGACTGGCATCATCCTCAGACTGATGAGGGAATTGACAGGTTACAAAACTTGTCTAAAAATCAAGAGGACCAGTTTGCCTCTTAAATGGATTCCCTACAGAGTATGCTTACAGTATGACCATGTCACCGCCCTACTCCATTGAAAACGTAAAGGTTCCTATTGCTTTCAGGATGGAGACCATTGTATTCACCATGGTCTGTAAGTCCCTGAATGATCTGCTTGCTGTCTACCTCCCATCTCCTATCACTCTCTGCCTTGTCTTCCAGGCCCCAATCCCACTCCATTTCCTAACCCAGGGTCTCCGAAGATGCTGTTTCCTCTGTGTGGAGCAGTTCTTCCCATTTCTGTCCTCATATAATTCATGTTCATCTCTCCGGCTTCAGCTCAAGTCTCATATCCTCCAGAAAACCTTCCCTGGCACCAGACTAGATTAGTTCTCCCTATTTTATGCCCTTATAGCTCTCCACACTTTCTTCCATATTTTGTAAATGGACTTTTACATTTGCCTTGTGATTAGCTGCTTAATGTATCCTCCTCCCTGCATCTGTAAGCTCCACAAAGGCAAGGTCCCTGATTAGTTTGCTCCATCATGTACCCCTAGAACATAGTGGATGTTCACAAGGGTTAGGAGGATTAACTGTTGCTGAAGGAAATCACTCAATAATGAAGCAGCAGAGCAGGAATCAAATGGAGGTATGGGCTCCTGCCACTTTCCTCGTCTATGAACGTTTGCAGGAAAGCATGAGGGGGCAGGTGTGTGGAGGCCATAACACTGTGGGTGGAGAGAAAAGCATGAACCTTGGAGTCAGCAGAATTGTGTGACCTGGGGCAGTTACCTCCCAGAGTCTATTTTTTTTTTCTTTTGAGATGGAGTTTCTCTCATCACCCAGGTTGGACTGCAATGGCGCGATCTCAGCTCACTGCAACCTCTGCCTTCCAAGTTCAAGCAATTCTCCAACCTCAGCCTCCCGAGTAGCTGGGATTACAGGCGTCTGCCACCACGCCTGGCTAATTTTTGTATTTTTAGTAGAGACGAGGTTTTGCCATGTTGGCCGGGCTGGTCTTGAACTCCCGACCTCAGGCAATCTGCCTGCCTCAGCCTCCCAAAGTGCAGGGATTAGGCGTGAGCCACTGTGCCCGGCCAGAGTCTATATTTTTATAAAAGGAATATAATGTACACATCCTGGGATTATTAAAAGCTGGTATCAGGTTACTTCATTCATGAAGAGTAGCAGGTGTATACCAGGTACTAGGCAAAAAGCAGTTAGTTCACTTCTCCCCTGACCCTCCTTAGCCCAGCTCCCTGAACAAACAGCTCTAGCTGGGGCAGTCATGGGCTCCTGGGCTCAGCCTTAGAAATAGGCAGGCACCAGGGGGGCCACTGTGAGTTATTTGAGTGGGTACATGGGGTGGGGAGGGCTGGGAGCCACATGCACTTCTGTCCCTCACTCACCTTCAGGATCTTGATCTGGGTGGGGTCAGTGGACCTGATGTAGAAGCTCTTCAGGTAGGGCTCAAACATACCCTGGCACAAGAGAGGCAGTCAGGGAGCTCCACCAAAGCCCCAGGCCTGCCTCGCTGCCCAGAGGCACCCCTCCTATCCTGACCCAGTGCCCAGGATCCTTCCCTCCTCACCACTGCCCTCCACTTCTCAAGTCTTCCCTCGTCCATCTCAGATTTGACCAGCTCTTTCTCCACGGCGCATTCCCTCTCAGCGGCCCCTCAGGATTCAGGCCCTGTTCCCTATCTGTGTTTGGAGCCTCCCCTGCCCCATCCTCTGCACAGCCAGGGTATTCCTCCATCTTCCCTTTCCTCAGCCCCGGTCCCAGTCCCAGCCCCGACAGCGCCTCCGTGCCCGCAGAAGCGGCCCTCGGACAGCGAGGACAGGCTGCGGTCGCAGGCTCACCCGGCGCTTGATGGACATGGTGGCCACGTTCTGGAGCACAACGTACTGCACCTCACTGCGGAGAGGATGGGTCAGAGCACCCCGGGCCCCTCGGCTGGGGCAAGGGGCAGTGGATGAGGGGAAAAGGTGGGGCAAGTCGTTGCGGGGAGAGGACCAGTGCGAGGGGCAGGCGTGCGGTCAGTGTGGAGCGGCTGGGCAGAGGGGGAAGCGGTTGGTGGGCATGAGGGGGCGGAGCCGGGCAGCCCGTGTGGCGGGACGTGGGACAGGGCTTGAGACGAAGACGGGGCGGGGGCGCGGCCGCAGCGCACCTGTGGCTGCGCAGCAGGCGCACTAGCGCCTTGGCGATGACGCCCACTTCCGCCTTGGGCGCCAGGTGGAAGTAGAGCTGCGCCACCGCCATGACCACCGCGGCGCTGCGGCTCTGCAGCAGGGGTTTGGTGTTGCGCAGCAGCAGCCGGTGGTCGGGGTCCATGATATAGGGCTTTCGAGCGGGGAGCGCCGCGGCGGCCGTCTCCTCAGACCCCGCGCCCTTGGCCTCGTCCTCCTCTGAGCCGTAGAAGGCTTTCTCCGCGTTCTCCTCTAGCAGGGATTCCTGGACAGGGAGACCGACGGGCCTGTGGGCGCCTCCCTGGGACACCCTTCCGTCCGCTCTGCCGGGGCGGGGCCCACTCACGTTTTGGGTGGGGCTCAGGAACTGCGTCCGGGCGTAGCGGGTGAGCATGCTGATGATGACCACCTGGCCCCACTCCTCCACGTCGATCAGCAGGTTACAGAGTTTCCGGTAGTTTTTGTGAATCAGGTCGATGCGCTCCGGGCAGACCTCCTCGAAGGCCATCACCACGCTGCCCGCCACCAGCTGCGGAAAGAACAAAGGCGAGGGGGTGAACGCGAAGGGTGGAAGGCCGGCTGTCAGTCACCACCCCTCCCGGAGTGCCCCTATACCGCACCGTGGTCTTGTCAGCCAGAAGCTTCTCAATGACTTCTATCAGCTGATCCTTCTGGTCAGAGTCCAAACTGAGGGAGAAATCAGTAGGGGAATTTGCCACACTCAGCCCCAGCCTTCCCAATATCTGTCCAAGCCATGCTCACCTCAGGCGCCCCAACCTTATTGTTCTCCTCCATCTCTGTCAGTCCCCCAAACTGCCCTCCTCAAACCCTCTGAGAAGCAGCGGGCAAGACTTAGGAAAGGCCAGGGGTCGGTTGGGAACTTAGGAGCCAGCCTTCTGGGGAGCGTGGGACAGGGCTGGGGCATACCTGTAAAGTTTAGGGATGGCGTGGGCAGCTGTTTTCCGCACATAGGGTGACATGTCCGAGGCGGCTTCCTTGATAGCTAGCATCATGATGGGCACTATGATGGGCACACGGATGCTAGAGAGGACACGGAGGGCACTGGCACGAATCAGTTGGTTGGGGTCCTAAAGGCAGAGGTGGAGGCAGAGCTATGAAAGAGCACGAGGTGACCTGATGGAGGGGGACCACACCTTTGGAAGTCACTGTCCCCAGCGACCACCAGTTCTTGCTTCCCTGCCCCCTGACTGGAGCCTGAATGGTGTGCCAGTGCTGGATACCTGGGGGACACTTAATTTTGGCTCTGGTTGCAGAAATCTGACACCTGAACAGGTGTTGCAATGGGTAGCTTCACTTCCAGAAAGATTGAAAAATGTTCAGAACGCTTAAAGTTGCTGAAACACCTTAAACATTTTCTGTTCCTTGTAAGGGTTTTTTGGGGGGTATCTGTTTTAATGCCTGAGGTGACTGCCCAGCACATGCAGGCTGGTATCCCTTCCGGAGTTCAACCTTACACTCCTTTCTCCCAGAAATCACTGCAAAAGCTGCTGTTCTTCCACAGTGTTTAAAACAGGCCTATACCCTTCCTTTTTTTTTTTTTTTTTTTTTTTTTTTGAGATGGAGTCTCACTCTGTTGCCAGGCTGGAGTGCAGTGGCACAATCTCGGCTCACTGCAACCTCCGCCTCCTGGTTTCAAGCGATTCTCCTGCCTCAGCCTCCCGAGTAGCTGGGACTACAGGCATGCACCACCACACCCAGCTAATTTTTTGTATTTTTAGTAGAGATGGGGTTTTGCCATGTTGGCCAGGCTGGTCTCGAACGCCTGGCCACAAGTGATCCGCCCACCTCGGCCTCCCAAAGTACTGAGATTACAGACGTGAGCCACCACGCCTGGCCCCAAGCCCTTCCTCTTTATTCCTATTGCACCCTATACAGAATGTATAAAAGCGTTAGTTACACTGTATTGTGATCATGGGGCTTACGACTTCTTCCCACTATCAGCAGCAGCAGCTATATATTACAGGCATACCTCGGAGATATTGTGGGTTTGATTCTAGACCTCAACAATAAAGCAAATATCACACTAAAATGAGTTACATAAATTTTTTGTTTCCTGGTACATACAAGTTATGCTTATAGTTACAGCTGCTTGGGAAGCTGAGGTGGGAGAATCACTTGAGCCCAGGAAGTTGGAAGCTGAAGTGAGCTATGTATGTTCACGCCACTGCACTCCAGACTGAGCAACAGAGTGAGATTGTATCTCCAAAAAAAAAAAAAGAAAGAAAAAAAAAGTTACATTTACAATATACTGTAGTCTACTAAGCACGCAATAGCATTATGTCTTAAAAACCAACGTAGGCTGCGTGTGATGGCTTGTGCCTGTAATCCCAACACTTTGGGAGGCTGAGGTAGGAGGATTGCTTAAGCCTAGGAGTTCAAGACCAGCCCGGGCAACATAGGGAGACCCCAGTCTCTACAAAAAAAAAAAAAAAAAAAAAAATTGAAGTCAATCCTCTTAAACTCCGCCTCTGCTTTATCAACTAGGTTTATGTAATATTCTAAATCCTTTGTTGTCATTTCAACAATGTTCACAGCATCTGCACCAGGAGTAGATTCCATTTTAAGAAAGGACTTTCTGTGTTCATAAGAAGCAAGTCCTCATCCATTCAAGTTTTATCATGAGATTGCAGCAATTCAGTCACATCTTCAGGCTCCACTTTTAATTCTACTTCTCTTGTTATTTCCATCACATATGTAGTTACTTCCTCCACTGAAGTAGTGAACCCCTCAAAGTCATCCATGGAGTTTACAATCAACTTCTTCCCAACTCCTGTTCATGTTAATATTTTGACCTCCTCCCATGAATCATGAATGTTCCTAATGGCACCTAGAATGGTGAATCCTTTCCAGGAGGTTTTCAATTTACTTTGTCCAGATCCATGAGAGGAATCACTATCTATGGCAACTCTAGCTTTATGAGATGTATTTCTTAAATAATAAGACTTGAAAGTCAAAATTACTCATTGATCCATAGGCTGCAGAACTGATCTTGTGTTAGCAGGCATGAAATCATTAATCTCCTTGTACCTCTCCATCAGAGCTCTTGAGTGAACAAATGCATTGTCACAGAGCAGTAATACTATGAAAGGAATATTTAAGCGGTAAGTATCAACAATGGGCTTAAAAAATTCAGTAAACCGTAACTGCAAACAGATATGTTGTCATGGCATTGTTGTTCCATTTATGGAGCACAGGCAGAGGAGATCTGCCACAATTCTTAAGGACTCCAGGATATTCAGAATGGTCAGTGAGCACTGGCCTTAACTTAAAGTCACTAGCTGCATTAGTCCCTAACAAAAGTCAGCCTGTTTTTTAAAGCCAGGCATTGACTACTCCTCTCTACATAGGAAAGTGCTAGATGGTGTCTTCTTCCAGTAAGAGGCTATTTCATTTACACTGAGCATCTCTTGTTGAACACAGTCACTTTCATCAGTGATCTTAGCTAGACCTTCTGGACAACTTGCTGCAGCTTCTCCATCAGCACTTTTGCTTCACCTTGCATTTTTTTGTTATGGAGATGGCTTCTGTACTTAAACTTCATGAACCAACCTCCACTAGCTTCCGTCTTTTCTTCTGTAGCTTCCTCACCTCTCTTAGCCATCATAGAATTGGAGAGATTTAAGACCTGCATATAAATTAGGCTTTGGCTTAAGGGAATGTGGTAGCTGGTTTGATCTTCTATCCAGGCCACTTAAATTTTCCTATATCAGCAATAAGCCTGTCTTGCTTTCTTTATCATTCATGTTTTCTGGAGTAGCACCTCAAACTTCTGGGTTCAAGTGATCCTCCCACCTCAGCCTTCCAAGTAGCTAAGACTACAGGTGCATACCACCACACCAGGCTAATTTTTAACAAATTTTTGTAGAAATGTTCTTGCTCTGTTGCCCAGGATAGTCTTGAACCCCTGGTCTCAAGTGATCCTCCTGCCTCGGCCTCCCAAAGTGCTGGGATTACAGGTGTGAGCCACCACACCCAGCCTGGAGTAGCAATTTTAATGTCCTTCAAGAACTTTTACTTCGCATTCACAACTTGCTAAATGTTTGGAGCAAGAGGCATAGCTTTCAGCCTATCACGGCTTTCAACATGCCTTCCTCAGTAAGCCTAACCATTTCTAGCTTTTGATTTAAAGTGAGAGATGTGTGGTTCTTCCTTTCACTTGAACACTTAGAGGCCATTGTAGGGTTATTAATTGGTCTAATTTCAATATTGTTGTGTCTCAGGGAATAAAGAGGCCCACGGTGAAGGAGATGGGGGAACAGTCAGAACACACACAACATTTATTAATTTCACTTTCATCTCTGGGCATGGTTTGTGGCACCCCAAAACAATTACAATAGTAACATCAAAGATCACTGATCACCATAACATATAATAATCATTTAAAAGTTTGGAATATTGTGAGAATTACCAGAATGTGACAGAGGCACAATGTGAGGACATACTGTTGGAAAAATGGCACTAATAGACTTGATTGATGTAGGGTTGCCAGAAACCTCCAATTTGTAAAACGTGCAATATCTGCAAAGTGCAATATCTGCAAAGTGCAATAAAATGAGATGTGCCTGTACTATTAATCTTAGAGAATGATGGGAATAGGAACACTAAAGAAGGGTAGCTGTTACCGTGACTTTCTGAAATGGAGAAAGAAAAGATCCTCACAATTGCAGGCAAAATTGATGCTAATTCCTGACAAAATTCTGGAATTGACTTTTAAACAGATGGGTTAGAAGCATTTATTAAAAAGGAAGGAGTCTCTGTTTTCTTAGAGACAAATAGTCACATCAACTGCTAAAACCCATTTTCCTTTTTTGTGTGTGAACATTTTATTTGGGAAATGATTACAGATTCACAGAAAGTTATCAAAAAAAATCTGTTTTCCTTTTGATGGGGTAACTAGGACAGTGGATATTAGTACTTTGTATCTTGATTTCAGTGATATGTTTGTGGAAGTCTCACAGCATTTCCTGCATTGCCATTTTTTAGGTAGGCCTTTTGTTTCACCTAATAGTCAAGCATTTTTAAGAGCAGAATTCACATCTGTTTTATCTCTGTGTCACCCACAACCCTTTGCACATGAAAGGTGTTATTTATTTATTTATTTGTTGCTATTGAATAAGATCCTTCCTAACAAGATAGAAAAATGCCAGCTGTCTGTACAGTCAGGTGGGTCTACAACTTGGTGAAATGTACTTGGAGAAGGTTTATTAACAGATCAATGTCAACCTGGAAACATGCTATGCCTCAGTCTTTTGCCCTGGTCCAAATAGCTTATCAGTATCTGGAAAGAAGACACAAAATCAGGAGGAACATAATTAAGATTCAGAATTACCCTGGCTTGGACCCTGTGCTAAATCGATAAAATGAAATAGAGTAGGGTTTTACAGGGGGTTCAAGGGACCAACTGCACAAAGACAGGATGTAGGGAGACCTAGATTATCTGCTTGCCAGTCAGAGGTTTGATTCCATGAGGGATCTCCTAAGACAGTGAACACGGCCCTAGCCTGGACAGATAAAAAGAAGGGAGAAGGCTGGATTAAAATGATTGGTTCCAACATGCAGGAGAGACCAAAAGTCAGTGACAACAACAACAAAAAAGCAAGTTTTAAAGGAATACATATATAGTATGATGACACCATTTACAAAACATTTTATATTGCTTAACAATATGCAAATTACTAGCTCAGGAATAAATACATATGTATGAATGATAAACAAGAGAAGATACATAGGAGGCTTTGTTTGAGAAATGTGTCATTTCTTATGCTGGATATATGGATATTCATTATATTATTATTTATGCCTTTTGTGAACCTGTAGTAAATTTTATTTTATTTTTTAGATACAGGGTCTCCCTGTGTTGCCCAGGCTGGAGTACAGTGACTATTCACAGGCGCAGTCATAATGCAGTACAGCCTGATATCAATTTTTTTTTCTTTTTTTTTTTTGAGATGGAGTCTCATACTGTCACCTGGGCTGGATGGCAGTGGCACGATCTCAGCTCACTGCAACCTCTGCCTCCCAGGTTCAAGCAATTCTCCTGCCTCAGCCTCCTGAGTAGCTGGGATTATGGGCATCCGCCACCATGCCCAGCTAATTTTTTGTATTTTTAGTAGAGATGGGGTTTCACCATGTTGGCCAGGCTGGTCTCAAACTCCTGACCTCATGATTCGCCCACCTTGGCCTCCCAAAGTGCTGGGATTACAGGCATGAGCCACCGCGCCCGGCCTGAAATCAATTTTTAAAAATTATAGTTGTGGAGGTTTCAACAAAATATAATGGTTTAAAAAACACCCCAAATAGTAGTAGTTGTCTTGAGATGCAGCAAGTTGCCCTATGAAGGAGTGAGGTCCCTATCAGAAAAGATACCTGTTAGAGATGTTCTAGAGCAAAGGTTGGCATGCTACAGCCCTTGGATAAAATCTGTCTATTGCCTGTTTTTACATAGATTTATTGGAACACGGTCACACCCACTTGTTAATGGCTGCATTTGCACCATAAGGGCAAAATTGAGTAGTTGCATAGTTGAGACTATATGGCCTACAAAACCTAAAATACTATTTGGCACTTTGCAGAAAGAAATTATCACATTCAGTTGAACTAAATGAGCTCTGATTTTCTAAAAGGGGGAAAGGGGCAGTTGGTAGAGACTATAGGTGAAAATCTGTGCAACGATTTCAGATTAGTTTTTATACTTAACCCTTAACTCAAACCGAAAGACTACTTGCCAATCTAAGATGGATTCCATGGTTTTGACTTATAAAAAGAACCCTAGCACAATGTGTGGCATAGAGAGACCCAAGTATTTGCTAAATGAATGAACTGTATATGCAAGTGACCATGCTTTCTACCGTCACCCCAAAGAAGCCGACTGTCAACCCCTCTTGCTGGCCATAGCAGATTGGACAAGGGGTGGGCCCTGAATTTGAGCAGTCAATCCTATCTACCCAGTAACCTACAGAACTTCTGGATATGAAAAGATGAGCTGGACCTCTCACAATCTCTCTCACAGAAATTTGAACTAAAAGTATCCAGGCCAGGAGTAGTGGCTCATGCCTGTAATCCCAGCATTTTGGGAAGCTGAGGCCACTTGAGTCCAGGAGTCCAAGACCAGCCTGGGCAACATGGTAAAACCCTGTCTCTACAAAAACTACAAAAAAATTAGGCGGGCATGGTGGTGCATGCCTGTAGTCGCCGCTACTCGGGAGACAGAGGTGGGAGAATCACCTGAGCTCAGGAAGGTCAAGGCTCCAGTGAGCCATGATTGCACCACTGCGCTCCAGCCTGGGCAACAGAGTGAGAACCTGTCTCACAAATAAATAAATAAAGGTATGCAAAAATAGGGGAGTTAATGGTTGTAATCAGAGTGAAAAATCTGATATGGAGAGAAAGAATGGCTTTGAAATGGCTGTCTTTACCCTCAAGATATCTTAGACTAACCAGAAAAGCCCTCAGGGGAGACTTATACATGCATCTAACATATGTAAATCCAACTAGAAGCCTTGGGCAAAACGAAACAAACAGTGAGAATGGTGTGGGGGATTCAGGCCACTGCTAAAGGTTGAATTCTACCTGGCTGTGGACCACAATTCACACCTTTACACAAAGAGGGTTGAGGGGTTCTCCATTGCCAAAGACTCTCCACTCTCCAGGGGCTCAAGTGGTTCATACTAGAAGCAGCCATTACCACAGGCTCCTGGGAAGACAGACAGGGGCCCTAGGTACCCACTTCATCTCTTATGCCCTTCTGAACCTGGCTTCCACTCTCTGAGGGTCTGGCTGGCCTTTCCTGACTGTGACCCTCCCAACTTTAGGCAGGTAGAAAGGGCCCGCTCCCATGCTCATGGCCTCTCCCTGGGCCTGTTCCTCTGATAGCGCCAACGAGACCCAGGCCCTGGGAGGAAAACTGAGACCCCTGACCTTTAGGCCACGTTGGAAGGTGGAGATGGACAGCAGGGCCAGGTCTTGCTGCTCCTCAGCGTAGCGTACCAGGTACACGTAGACAAGCTTCTTCACCTTGGGGAGAGCAAGTTTCTCAGCAGAAGGCTTCTCAGCAGGGACCTGTGCCTGCCCCCCTACCCCTGGGATGTCATCTCCCCAGGCAGCTGTGGTCCATGGGGACAAATTCTTCCAGTTGGGGAGAGTACCCGACTGTATCCAGGTCCTTTACCTTGATCCACATCCAGTTCAAGGACATGGATAGAGTGTCTTCTCCTGGCTCAGGGACATTTCTGAGCAGGTTGGGCCTCCAGGGGCTAAATCATTTCCTTCCTCACCCCAAGCTTGAGTTTGTTCCTGGGGGAAGTGGGAACAAGTGATCCTTCACCCGGTAGTGCTCACCTCTATGTTCTTACAGGCCACATTCTTCACCACCGCTGGAAACAGGTCTGAAGCATTCTTTCCTCGGGCAATCATCTGGGTGGTGGGGTCAAGGTAGGGGAAGAGGGACAAATCGGGAGGCACAGCAACTAATTAGAGGGAAGGTCTACAAGGAGCTAAAGAGAGCTGCTCTTGACCATCCAGGCCCCACCCCAAGGGAGGCCCCTTCCTTCCCCTCTTACCGCCACAATCCTCTTCATGGCCTCCAGCTTTAGAGAATCCTTGTTGGTGTCCAGCATCTCCTTCAGGTCATCATGCCTGGTAGGAGGTACAAGAGGTCAACTGAGGGCACAAGGGTGGGGACGGGGTATTAATCAGGAGGGTCCAGGCACAAAGAAGGAACATGGCCAGGGGAGGCTCAGGCAGGACCTGACCCGAAGAGGGACTAGAGAGCCAGGGGGAGCGAGTAAAGTACAGATCAGGGGAAACATGTGGCCAGTTAATATTAGGGGTCCAGGGGAAACATGGCCAGGGGAAACATGTGGCCAGTTAATATTTAGGAAGCACTGTGTCCTTCCTAAAAAGGATATGTTTAAGTCTTAACCCCTAGTACCTCAAAATGTTACCTTATTTGGGAACACAGTTGTTGCAGATGTAATTAGTTAAATGCAATCCTACTTTAGTAGAGTGGGTCTCTAATCCCATATGTCTGGTTTCCTATAAGAAAACAGCCATGTGGGCTGGGCGCAGTGGCTCACGCCTGTAATCCCAGCACTTTGGGAAGCTGAGGCAGGAGAATCACTTGAGCCCAGGAGTTCCAGACCAGCCTAGCAACATGGTGAAACAATGTGTCTACAAAAAATAGATTAAATTGAAATTTAAAAAAAAAAAGACAGCCACTTAAAGAGACAGACACAGGGAGACTACCAGGTGAAGGCAGAGGATTGGAGAGATGCGTCTACAAGCCAGGGAATGCCAGAGATTGCCAGCAAACAACCAGAAGCTAGAAGGGGCAAGGAAGGATTCCCCTATGTGTTTCAGAGGGAGCACGGTCCTGCTGACACCTTGAGTTCGGACTTTTGGCCTCCAGAGCTGTGAGACAATTCGTTTCTGTTGTTCCAAGCAACCCAATTGTGGTACCTTTTTTTTTTTTCAATTACTAAACTTTTTTTTTTTTTAAATACTTTAAGTTCTAGGGTACATGTGCACAACGTGCAGGTTTGTTACATATGTATACATGTGCCATGTTGGTGTGCGCACCCATTAAACTCATCATTTACATTAGTATTCCTCCATATGCTAGTCCCTCCTTTTCTCCCCCGCCCACGACAGGCCCCCAAGAGTGTGATGTTCCCCACCCTGTGTCCCCAGTGTTCTCATTGTTCGATTCCTCACCTAATGAGTGAGAACATGTGGTCGTTTGGTTTTCTGTCCTGCAGTAGTTTGCTCCATGAATGATGTTTTTCCAGCTTCATACATGCCCTACCAAAGGACATAACTTATCCTGTTTTTTATGCTGGGCGCATAGTATTCGCATGAATGTATACTGGTGCCATAAATCTTTTTTTTTTTTTTCTGGTGAGACGCAGTTCACTCCTGTCGCCCAGGCTGGAGTGCAGTGGGGCACGATCCTTGGCCCACTGCAAGCTCCACCGTCCCAGGTTCACCGCCATTCTCGCTGCCCTGTCCCTCCCAAGTAGACTGGACTACAAGTCCGCGGACCACACCGCTTGGCTATTTTTTGTATTTTTAGTGGAAGAGACAGGGTTTGCACCGTGTTTACCCCTAGATGGTCTCGATCTCCTGACCTCGTGATTCCAGCGCTGCCTCCAGGCCCTCCCAAAGTGCTGGATATAGGGCATGGAGCCAGTGAGCCCAACCGCAGCGACGGCAGCCCATGGCCACAGTTTTCTTAATCCGTCTATCACTGATGGAGCATTTGGGGTTTTGTTCGCAAGTCTTTGCTATTGTGAATAGTGCCGCAATAAACATACGTGTGCATGTGTCTTTATAGTAGCATGATTTATAATCCTTTGGGTATATACCCAGTAATGGGATCATTGGGTCAAATGGTATTTCTAGTTCTAGATCCTTGAGGAATCGCCACACTGTCTTCCACAATGGTTTTAACTAGTTTACACTCCCACCAACAGTGTAAAAGTGTTCCTATTTTTCCACATCCTCTCCAGCACCAGTTGTTTCCTGACTTTTTAATGATCACCCTTCAAACTGGTGTGAGATAGTATCTCATTGTGGTTTTGATTTGCATTTCTCTGATGGCCAGTGATGATGAGCATTTTTCTAAACATTTAAAATATATTTCTAAACAGAATGGGCCAACTCAGTCACAGTAACTGTTGATCTCTATAGCAGAGCAATCCACGAAGACAGAACTGATTTTTTTCCCATAATCAGGAGTGAAAAATATACAACTTGTTTCTGAACCAAAACCACAATTTCTGCAGTTTAAAATGTTTCACTGCTAATATGGCCCTGGTAGAAATTATGTAGTTTTTTTTCTTATTTAAAAAAAAATTAAAACAATTTCCTAAGACGCTGAATCCTCAATCTGGAATGTAGATTCTGAGCACACAGCAGCTCAGTTACCCTAAAAAATAAAGAAAAAATTCCCATCACCTGTCTCAGTAGGGCCTGAAAGAAGTGGTGTGGGGAAACCCCTGCTTTAGTATGGAGAGTCACGGCCCCTTGACCCAGACCGAGACCGTGAGTAGCCATAGCTGGTCCTTCTCTCAGGATAAACTCGGATGTAGGAAGTTTCACTATCATGAGAGCAGAATTTGATGTCATCCAGTTTACGCAGGGCATATTCCATGTCTTCTTTTCTGAGATACTCAACCATCCCCACACCATCCTTCTGCACGTGGGCATAACAGACATCCCAAACTGCTCGCATGTGATCCTTCAGGTCCTGCCAGCTGCCTGATGGAGGAAGTCCTGAAACAAGAACTCGGAAATCAGATCTTCTTGTAGAAGGTCAATTCCTCCCACCACGGGGCCACCCACCCCGACCTCCATAAGTCCTGGGGAACTCCACACGAAGCCAACACTGGCCATAATCATACCCATTTCTTCCATAAATAGCATCCTCTGCATCTCGGGGGTCCTCAAAGTGCACGAAGGCAAAGGGCACAAGGCCCTGCCAGTTCTTGAGCTCGATTTCGTGGATGCGGTCGTACTTGTAGAAAAAGTCTTCCAGGTCCTTCTCGCGCAAGTCGGTCGGAAGTCCCACCACGTAGATGCACCCGTCACCCTCACTCATTCTCGCTCATCCGCCCAGCCCAACATCCGCACCGCTGGACGCTGCGGGCCCGCGGGCCGCTGCCTCAGCACGACCCGCCCCCGCCCCCGGCAGTGTCCCCGCGGGCTCTGAGGCGCTCAGTCGCACTGCATTGTGGGAACGAGGCGCAATTGTGGTACTTCTGATATAGCAGTGTAGGAAATGAATGTAGTCAGGAACAGAGAGAAAAGAGACAAGAGGAAGGGTTTGGGGTGGGAAAGTATGGACCCGGCTCAGGGAAAAGGACCAGTTGGATGGATGAGAAGGACCAGCGGAAAAGAGGTAGATGCCAAAACAAGAGCAGGGTGCCCTTGCCCTGCCTCCAGTATGTTTCCAAGGCCTAACCTCTCAGACCAAACTGATTCCAGGGACTGGAAGGGTCCCAGAGACTCCATAGATTGCCTCACAACAAAAGCCAGACCTGTCACTGAACCACTGAACAGCCATTCAAGGAAGTTATTAAACTCTAGTGGGATGAATAAAGATTTGAATAAGTGATCCCTTGCGCTTGGCTGAGAGGAATAAGGGTAGTGCTGAGCCAATACACAGGTTTCTTTCTTTTTTTGGATCTCATACTTCATTTCAAAAAATTGAAATTTCAAAGGGAACATTTTGTCAAACTTTTTGAAGTGACAGCAAAATTCATCTGGAAAAAAAAATCAGTAGGTAAGAACTCCAAAGAATGTTTTTGAGAAAAGAAGAGAGTAATGATAGACAACTCACCCTATTGGACTTCAAAACATAAAACCAGGAGACAATGATAAAAGCTGTTTGGTACCAAGTTAAAACCAGAAGGTCAAAGGTCATGGAGGGAATTTCATAAAAGGTCTAACTTGATAAATTAGGAACCAATAACTTATCTAAGGAAGAAAGAACCTCGCCCCCCCACCCCCACTTAAATAAATGCTATTGAGACAACTGCTTTGCAGCACTTTTTTTTTTTTTTTTTTTGAGACAAAGTCTCACTCTGCTGCCCAGGCTGGAGTGCAGTGGCGCAATCTTGGCTCACTGCAGCCTCGGCCTCCTGGGTTCAAGTGATTCTCATGCCACAACCTCCTAAATAGCTGAGATTACAGGCGTACACCACCATGCCTGGCAAATTTTTTGTATTTTAGTAGAGATGATGTTTCGCCATGTTGACCAAGCTGGTCTCAAACTCCTGGACTCTAGTGATTTGCCTGCTTCGGCCTCCCAAAGTGCTGGGATTACGAGTGTGAGCCACTGTGCTGGGCCTAGGTTTAATTTTTAAACTTTGGAATCTAAAAACTAAATTTATGGGAAGAATAAGGCAACTATACTAGCTTCCTAGAACCACCATAACAAAGAACCACAGGCCAGGGCTCACACTTGTAACCCCAGCACTTTGGGAGACTGAGGCAGAAGGATTGATTGCTTGAGCTCAGGAGTTGGGACCAGCCTGGGCAACACAGTCAGATCCTATTTCTACAAAAATAAAAAAAATTAGCCAGGCATGGTGGCACGTGCCCGTAGTCCCAGCTACTCAGGAGGCTGAAGTGGGAGGAACACTTCCACCAAGATGTTGGAGGCTACAGTGAGCTATGATCGTTCTACTACACTCCAGCCTAAGCAACAGAGCAAGAACCTATCTCTAAAAAAAAAACCAGAAAGTACTACAGATGGTGGCTTGAACAACATAAATTTATTTGCTCACAGTTCTGGAGGCTGGAAGGCTGAGATTAAAATGTCAACAGGATTAGTTTCTTCTACAGCCTCTCTCTTTGGCTTGTAGATGGCTCTTGTGATATTGTAAAGAAATATATATATTTGGTCTCTATACCCCATTTCTGAGACAGAGCTCCTAAAACTCTTGACGATAGCGATGCTAGGATAACTTTTGTCCTAATATTTGGTCTTCCACCCAGTTCCTCACGCAGCAATCCTAAGACCTTTATAACTTCCTGAGTGATAGGAACATCTGACATGGAAATCCCTTGGAATTTCCTGGGTGATAGAAGCATCTTTTGTTATTAGATGGTTGGAACTTTTTTCTTTTTTCTTT